TACTTATTTATATTAGCTTAGAACATTTTATTAAACCTAAATATTTTAGGTTTTAGTAACCTAATGCTATATTGGCCAAAATAAAAGCCGTTGAACAAGCGAAAATTTTGCAAAAATTACATTCAAACATCCTAAAATAAAATACGTGAAATAATAAAGGTCAATACAGATAACTTTTCTAGTGCTCAAAAAAATGACAGTTAACCATTTATATACAGTGTGGAAACCACTTATGGAATAAAATTCTTTATGTCATTATTTTAGAAAATTGTAAAAAATGCCGAGACACGTCAACTTTTGAATTGAGTTGTGCGTTATGTAAACATACATTTAAATGTACAGGGTGATTCACGCAAGTATGCCATAGTCGGTGTTTTTTTTTTTAATGAGACACCCTGTATATTTGCATATTTTTGAAATCCTCTTAATGAACCGATTCCAACAAACTGAATAATGTATATGTATGCAAATATACAGGGTGTTTCATTAAAAAAAACAACACCGACTATGGCATACTTGCGTGAATCACCCTGTACATTTAAATTTATGTTTACATAACGCACAACTCAATTCAAAAGTTGACATGTCTCGGCATTTTTTATAATTTTCTAAAATAATGACAAAGAATTTTATTCCATAAGTGGTTTCCACACTGTATAATAAAATGTCATTAGCGGCAACAATACAGAAAAATATTGAACATTAAAAGCATCCCTTACGATTTGCAAAAATTTTCACCTTGTCATTTCTTTATTTTTGTGGTATAACTGTATTTATTCCAGCGTTGCCGACGCTAGTCATCAGATTAAAATACGAGACGAATGGCTTATCGCATGGCATCCAAAATACCAAAAACATTTTTCATACGAAAAAAATTCGTATAAGAGTACTCGAATACGAATATTTTCGCATAAGTTAGAAAATAGCAGCCCTGAGTGAACCTTTGCGTCAGTATGTATAGAAGCAACAATTAAACATTGTTTTTTTTTCTATTCTTATGTTAAGAGCAAGTTTGATTAATAACCAAAGAATTGTAGAACCTGGGTGATAAGTTATACTCCGAGATGGCATTAAAAAATATAAGATTTTCGAGAAATAAGCGCCAATTGATTGTCCTCATATCCTTGACTGTGAGCGCCTAATGAGAATCGACCTTTATCCTTTAATAAGGCTGCCGCGTGAAGTAAGCATCTAAAGGTTGTCGCGGTGAGTTACGAAGGAAGGTATGTAGCACAATTAAGTGCACCTGAGTCACTACAATATGTAGACACCCACTAAGAACGGATTTTATAAACATCCCATTTTAAGGGGGAGAAAGTTTGATGGGAGTATCGAATTTTTTGAAGGCAGGAACTTCAGCTACTTATCATAAATAAATAATGCGTATTACTTTTTTGGATTTTATATTTTAAGGGGGGAAAAGCATAGAAATGGGGGTGAACGTTTGTATAGGAGTATAGTTTTTTTAATAGTACAAATAAGTGAAACTTATGGTATGAAAAATATGAGGAGTGAATTGATAATAACCATATTTATCAATGTCCCGACGTCCTAAGGAAGGACAGTTTTATGTTTCCTGTTAGGTCAGTTCCACATATGCAATCTGGTGATATTAGTAGATGAGAGCCGTACCAGAAATGTGGTATAAAATGATTTTCAATTAGATTACTCTACTTACTCTAATCTATAATACTATCACATACATATCATGAACCCTAAAAAAATATATATCCCTCATTTTTTTTGGAAAGCCGTGCATTTTATATAAAAACAAATAATGTACCCATTTTAGTAAATACATTATTATATTATTGTGTTTTGTAGAATATACTTTGATATAATAGAATTTAAATTACTAGAATCGTATTTATGTAGACTACCTACATATTAACTGAAATATAATTTTGAAAGCAACAAAGGGCATTTGTGTACAGAACAAAGATGTCTGGTTTGGAATCCTAGCGACGGCAGGCTTTTTTCAAATCTCCGAGTATTTGTTTTCACCTTTGGGGTTCGGGAATGGTCTTAATAATTCGTAGGGGGAATTTTTTTAGATTTTTTTTGACCTTTCAAAATTTCTACTTTTAGTATCGTCAAAGCATCTCCTCTTTATTTATATCTCAATGTCGCACACCAAATAAATAAAACAAAAATTTTTTCGTGTTTGTATATTTTCTAGTTAACACAATTGTTACAAACATAAATTATTTGTTATAAATAATAGTCAAAACCTTTACCAGCAAACGTAATGTATGTTAGATAATACACAAGTATTGCTTTAGTTATTCATTGATATAGTATTAACAGTCTTCAACCATCTTAAAAAACATGATTTAAGATAAAAAGACTCAATTTGGTAACAAAAATCTATTAAGTTTCCGCATCGTCCATGTTTTTAATATTGCAATTCTAGAAGGGAATAACAAATCCAAAATAGATTTTGGTACCAAATCGTATAATAAATAGGTTTCAAATCATAAAAATGTATAAAAAAAATCTGTTATAAATATATTTTAATTACAATTTGATATTTTGTAGGACGATTTTTTTTAAGTAAAAACTATAAAAACAAATTTTGTAAAACAGATCGAAACTTGCCTCAGATTCGCAATTATTCCGTACTTTCTCATACAGTATGTTGCAAAAACAATTTTCTATTATGCACTGTATGAAAATCTATCATCCAGTATATAAACAGCTGTAAATTAAGTAATAAAAACAATTTGAATAATTCATTTCTAAAAACTAATTTGAATTATCACTTGTTAATATAATAAAAATTGATAGTATAAAATATGGCAGCTAAAATAAAAATATCTAATACCGGATGTCCCTAATAGAATATTTATTTATACAATATATATATTTTTTAGATTGTTAAATTCTATTAAGCATTTTTGTTTTGACTTTGTTAACTTTTTATTATTAAATTAGTAAATTCTCGTTGATTCCGAGTATTGTGGATAAGTATATTTTAATATTTAATTTTCGAGACATCCTATAAAAACAAATTTCCGTGGCACTACAATTACTTACTAGGTGTTATAACGGATGGAAATCGATTTAAAAATCGAATCATTCATTTTACAAAAATATTTGTCATTCAAATCAGTATTAAAAATAATGACAGACTTTTGTATGACCTAATAAGTTAATTATTATCGATAACTTAATATTTGTATAATTACATTTTTAAAACAATTCCATTCTTGTTTGAGAGCACGGTAATAAAAATACAAGAATTACTAATATATATATAAAAAGTGAAAAATAAATTATTAATAACTAAAGATATTGTTTAAAAATTTAAATACTATATAAAGTTGCTCTAATTATTGCCAAAATATACTGAGTAACAAACAATTTTTTGCGACACTATCGCAGTTTTTGGTATAATCACGTAAAAAAAAAACAAAAACTTACTCTTGGAAACAAAGACTAAAAAGTAAATCCTATAAATAATTGACAATTAGTAAGATGTGTGTATACTAAGTCCACAAAATTGAGTACTTTTTAAATAAAACGCAACAAAAAAAAAGTAAAAAAATTAATATTATCTTTCAATTAAAAATATCGTAAATTTTAAAAAGGCACTGCTTCATTTTTCAATTCCAATCAATAAAACTTATATGGAATGTATTTGTAACAAGAACAAAAAAAAATGCCAAAAAGCTAACTATAAATTTTAGAAAAGGATTGTACTTTCCAGACCTCAGTCTTTACAGAAAAAAAAAAAAAAAAAAATATATTGACAAGGGTCTTCCTAAATATCATGTCAATATTGAATGCGGTAATTGCTTGACTAAGATATATAAATATGTGGGCTAAATTGTTCTTTTAAGATATTTTTTTAGCCTTTTGGGACCCCACTGGACTTAATAATTTTGATCCAATTGGTTTAAATTATCTCGTGCTTTTTGGATTGATTAATAAAAAAAAAAAAACATTTTTAATGTAATAAGCACAAATATGTTGGGCCATTTGCCACATACCGTACATGTATGTTGTTCGTTTACCAAATAACTTTGGAGTAGTTTTATTTGGAGCTCCTGTAACTACTCGACGAGTAGGACACTGATGATGGAATAGGCAAATGTGCTTTGTAAATTATTAAAAATAAAATTAACTTTACACGAAATACAAAAATCGTCTTTTATTGGTTAAGAAATAAACCAAGCTTACCTTTTTTTATTGAAAATATCATTTTAAGCTTCGTTTATTTATTTATTTAGGACGAGCGATGCAAATTGATCTTAATAATACAAACAAACCTACCAAGTTAAAACAAAAGAGGGTTTGGGATATTATTGAAAAACCGATTTTTTAAATTCGATATTCTTGTCTTAAAATAAAAGCAACTAGAGCAGATTTTGATATATTTTAGTCATAAAATGGTTAAAGGAATTACCTCCTGCAATATTGGCACGACATTTAAGAACACACCCTGTGTACAGTATCGCAGTATAATGTATAACATTCAAATCGATTAAAAAATAAAATCTTGCAGAAAACATCTAAATATATGTACAGTTTTACTAAAAAGGCATTTAAAAAGGCCATCGTTACAATAACCCAGTCTATGGAAACTAATAGCTACGTGTGTATTAAGAGCGAAAAGTAATACTTTGCTGCTTGAGACAGAAAGCGTCAACGAATTTTTCGCTCAAAACGGACACAATTTTTTCTACGATCACACTTTTTTAAGAAATAGATACAAAAAAAATGACTTAAAAAATATTTATTAAAATAAATATTATCTAATTTAAATCAGGCGAGCAACAAAGCTGTTAACGTTATCGCTCAGCGAGCGACAAAGCTGCCACTTAATGTCAGTTCGCGAAAAACGGTTGGACTTCAAAGCGTAAAAGCCTATTTTGGATAGTGATTGTAGAAAAAAGCATTTACTATACAAAAGGATTGAAAGAAAATAGAAAATTCGTTTTACCCACCACTTTTTAAAAATAGTGTTTTACGAATATCACCCTGTATTATTTGAGTCTATAACCTTTTGTATATTAAAAGCATCCAATCCAACTGAGTTACAATACACAACGTGCAAAAAAGCGTGTCTATTCGACACGTTTGTTATTGAGCATTAGTTTATCGTGATTCTACTTTTTATCATCTATCTTTACCATCACGGAACAATATTGACCACAAGGAAAACACGAACCTTACAATTTGATTTTTATATGTCATCTGTATTTTTTTTATAATAGAAGGTTCCTGTCGTGTAATATCGATGCAGCTAATCTCTAAAAATGACACATTTTAGATATCCAATGGGAAAAAATATTTAATTCTTTCACAGCCAAGTGAATAATTTCAAGGTTTATATATTTAGAAAAGCTGATCAATTGCCAAAAGAACCATTTCAAGGTTTCCAAAACAACATTAACTGATGTTATCTAATGGATTCGCAGTAACATTTCTAACTTTTCCCTTTGCTTTTTTTTGTTTGTATGTCAATACTGGCCCCAATTTTTGTATTAGTGCCAAAAACTACTACAAAAAAAAAACATTCCTATAAAAACGAGCAACCTAACTTCATTTTATCATTCAGTCTCGTTGAAATAGATTTTAGTAACTACAATATCTCCCGTGCTGAGAGTTTGAGTACCTACATTGGAGTGATTCTCCTTAACTATACCAGGATCGTTATCTTTTACGCTGCTAACGTATTCGTTAGTAGGTGAAACGACCCGTTCGTGCTTGTACCCGTTATTCAATTTGCAATGACAACTGCAAGTGCATTTATCAACTTTTGCCGTCGGATCGGCTTCGTTCTGCATAATAGCGGCATTGCTAAGAATAGATTCCAGCTTTTCGATTTTATCGAATCTGTCCAATTTGTTATCATTTAAAATCGTATCGACCAGCTGCATCGATTCCGTCAGACTGGTAGGTTCAGAATTTCTGGGCGAAGTCATGTCACTGTCGAGGCTCGGATAATCAGGGTCGTCGTCGTCCGAACTGTCAGCTTCTCGGTCTTGACCCAAGCTTTCTAGTTTCTCTAATTTTTTAGCTACTTTCGCAGACGATTTGAGTTTTTCTTTTTCGTCGTCAGTCAATTCGATGTAACGCAATAATCTGACTTCCCTGTTGCTTAAAACGACGCTTTTCGTAGCTTGAGCTAATTTTACGCGCAATTCTGATACTTCAGTCTCGGTTTTTCTTTGCCGCTTTTTCATTTTTACGCCATCCGGGTTTATGTGCATTTGAATCTGAAAAATAATCCTCACATTAGAATGAGATATTTTTATTACCATTAATAAATAAAGAAATATTAACAAAAAACTTCCAACACAAAAAAGTATGATGTTATAAAAAGAATAGCTATTTCTTCAACATCTAAAAGAAATAAACCAACATATTTATGATATCAAAGCAATCTTAACATTATTTAACAAACAGCCTTGTTAGAAGCATTCTTGAATATTGCTTTGTCGTATGGCATCCTATCAATACCTGTCGCATAGAGAGGATAGAATCAGTTCAGTGTAAATTCATTAACAATTTGCTATTTAAACACCACTTTCTCTAACAAAACGTTGTTATGAAACTAGGCAATTTTTATGTGGTATATAAAGTCTAGAAACCAAAAGAATGCATGTTTAGTTATGTTTCTATATAAATGAATTGACTGTAAGATCGACTGTAGCGCCCTATTACAATCTGTTAGCTTTTTGGCACCTATTCGACTTACACGTCATACTTCATTGTTTTTTATCAGAAGACACATAATCAATTACGGACAAAGAGCCATTTATTGACTATGCGCTATATAACTTATCTTCCAGACTCTTGGAAATATGCCCAGATTAAGCGAAAAGTTAAAAATTATAAACAGTGGTTGTGTTAAAATAAAGGAAAAATGTTTTAGAATAGAGTAAGGAATTCCATCTGACCCAGGACTCTTATGAATATATGAGGCTGCTAGTTTAGTACAAATATCGGATATTTTAATATCACAGTAAGATATATTTATGTTATTTACATATGCAGGTACCTTCGAAATATCACAATCGATATGAACATGTACTTTTGAAAAAAAATCAGCAAACAAATCGCTGTCCCAGTTCAAAATTGTGTAATATCTCCAAATCAGCAATTTTGAGATAAACAATTTTTCTTTACCAATTTGTAATTTATTATTAAAATAAATAGAAAAAAAAATATTTTGAGATATTATAGTGTTGAATTATTGTAATAAGATCTTGCCCTTCTTGCTAAGAATACATTCTTATCTCAAACTCTAAATTTTTTGAGATGTTACAGTTTTGAACTGGGACAGCGAAATACGCCATTTTAGAATGATGTCATTTTAATTTCACTGACATTTAATTCTAACCAAACTTTTAACAAAAACATCAATAAAGGTATTTTTTAGCGAGTGTTTGGTTTAAAATATTTTCGACTGTTTCAAACCGTTTACATTTTAGCGATGCAACTATGACGTCGCGTATGAAATATTTTAAACCAAAGCTAGAATTTTTGAACCAGTCGGAGGCATATGGTTCAATAACGGTTGACACATAAGAGATTCTGATTTTGGCTGTTGTATGTTGTTTTGCTCTGTTCCATCTTTGAACATTTTGATATATTTGACGTTTTGTTTTTTTTTATTGATTTTTGATAACTTCATACATATATTATGTGATCAATATTTATATTTATGGTCATCATAAACAGTCAAACCTATAGGTTACTCTTATCTCTGGGTTACTCTTGATTATGAAACAATAATTCAATTAAAATAAGGTTAAAGGATGACTTATTAGTTGTACGTTTTTTGCAAAAATAATTAAGTAGTTTGCTTCAGATTCTGAATTTGCCAGCAAATATTTAAAAACAATTAAACGTTCTTTGGCAGTTGATGAACTTTGGAAAAGTCCAAAAAATCTACAGCGTATTTGTTGGAGCTACGGAATAAATATGATGCCAAGTTTATTGACAAAAAAAATACCAAAAATAAAATAAACAACGTTTCAGATTGCAATGTACTTATCAAAAACACTTCAATTTTTAAATAAAATTGCTATCAAACACTCATCTTCCTTCATTTGATTTAAGAATTATTAAAAAAAAATCGAAATCAGAATATTTAAAAATTTTGTCATATGACAGCAGGTTATATTTTTAAAACACCCTATTTTTGCCATCTACTAATTCATGACGTCACTTTAAATATGGTTTAAAAAATATTTTAAACCAATGTGGTGGCTAAAAAACAGTGTAAATTGGACATGTACGTTTTACCAAAGGAGGATGAAATCCGTCTATTTGTACAATGTTGTCAGCTCTATCTACAAATCTTATAAACTCTGATTTGTTTAAGAACCATTTTAATTAAAAAATTCTTTATTTACATTTGTAGTTTAACCAATAAAGTCGCATAACAGACATCTTTCGAAAACTTCATCCTCTTGCATAAACATTACAAGAAAAATATAATTAATGATAAATGTAAAAAACAACTTCAAAACTACTACTGTCAGATACCAAAAAAGTTGTATTATTCCTTCATAAAATCGTGTGGTGTGCATGCAGATTTATTACTAATATACTTATAGAGAGAGGATCACAAAATATTGACCTTGATCACAAAATTGGTTCAGCAATGTATTACTTTTCGAACAAGGAAAGGGTTAGTAACCCCAGGTAAACGAACAACAGGAATCTTAATATATCTTATCCTATAGATGACGACTATGACAGTAGCAGAAAACAAATTTTGACTTGTTTACCTAGCAACTCGCATTGATAATACGTTGATGTTTAGAAGATGTTAGTAGTCATAGCCAAAGAGCCCACTGCACATTTTTACCGTCATCTGATAACGAAATGAAATATACCCCAAAAGCATGGAAAAACATTGTACTTTACCAAATGGCACCTGTGCCAATCCCAATCCTGAGCAAAGTGGCTTAAAAAAATTAATTTTATATTTAAAAAATCACATAAGGCATGACACCGCTAATTTTGTTTGCCCTTAAAGTTTTCCAGAAAATAACATTCAAATATATCTTGACATATATCGTTAAAGGGAAATATTTTCTTCCTCTTAAGATCGCACAAAAACATCTATCCACGATTAGTAGGTAAATATTAAAAATATGAATCAATGTTTGCTGATTTAAACATTTATTTGTATGCCTATTGTTGTGATTCATTTTTACAGGTGGCCATAGAAACGACAAAAAACTATGATTATGGTTTAAAATAATTGTCTAACAAGAGTTTATAATTATTATTGACTATCTCTGCAAATGGTTTATACAATGACATCCTTCTTCCTTCCATACATAAACATGGTTTATAAGGTAGGTAAAAATATTAATAATTCAGGTTTAAAAGTTAGGTTCACAATGAATTAGGATTGTAAAGTTCAGGGAAAACATAATTGTCTATGTCATGTTTTATGTGATTTTTTGAATATAAAATAATTTTTTTTAACCACTTTGCTCAGGATAAGGATTGGCACAGGTGCAATTTGGTAAAGTACAATGTTGTTACATGCTTTTGGAGCATATTTCATTTCGTTATCAGATGACGGTCGAAATTTGCAGTGGGCTCTCATACTATCATCTTTTTATTTGTCTTTGAAGTTTGAGGTTATGTATGGAAGTATTTGTAATTTTCCACAAAATCTGACCGAAGCATCTACTGTATAACCTGGAAAATATTCGCGAATATTCGTTTTTTATTAAGTTATATTCCGCTATTGAAAAATGATGCTGTTTCGCAAAAGGGTTGCTAACGCTTGGTAACTCACGATTTTTCTTTCAATATGTGGCAACATATTCCTACCTATTATTGACGAATTTCAGTATAAGCTACAAATATTAAATCGTTAAGAAACTGATTTATGGCCGATTCTGACGACAATTTTATACTTTTCTCTAATGTAACAGGCTCCACAAATGTAACTTGTCAGTTTATTTATTTATTTATGGGAAAACCCTATTTTACAGTTGGAAAAGTTTTTTTGTCAACTACTATTAAAAATGCAATGAGAGAACAAATAAAGACATCCTATCGAATTACTTGCAATTTGCTTACCTGTTCTTCACACAACTCCATCATCAGTCCCCTATTCTCCTCCTTTATATTTCTGCTCATAAAATAATAGATTTTATCGTTCGTCAAACTTAATACGTCAGCAGAAGCGTATAGTATCATTTCCCTGCTCAGCGGCCTTCTCGACCAATATTTTTGATCCCTCCTGTATATATTCTTCAGTTGGTCCTTCATGGGATTGATGGGTGCCCCGTAATATTCACAAAGGGCATTCAACGCGATAGATTTGGCCTTGTACACCGGTTTGTTGGTCTCTTGATAAGTTAAAATTGCGTGGGCTGCTTGGGTGTCGAAAACCATACGCATTGTTATGTTATATTGGTTGAAGAGATTAACTGAATCATTTCGGCAATCATGGACAACCTGTAATTATATAAATACACAAAAGTCTTGAAAATCATAATATTAAAATTTAAAAATATACCTTCACAATATTGGTACTCTCCAAAAGCCTCCTCAATCCGTAATCAATCATATCTGGACAAGAAATCAAATCGAAAACATAAGAAAAGCCGCTCATCGTCGCTACCTGCATCAGCGTGAGTTGTCCTTTGACACCCAAATTGATACCTTCACAATCGAATGCGACTATCATCCTGTCATTTGTGAAAGGCCACACAGGATTCATTTGCGTTTTGGAAGCTTTGTTCATAAGATCGTCGATTACTAAATGGCACTCCCTTGTCGTGCAAATTACTCTAAAACAAAAATACAGAAGGTATAGTAATACATTTTTTAAACTAAGAAAAGTTGTCCTCAGATAAAATGTAATTTTAAAGATATTTGCAACTCAAAAGTATTCTAAGAAGTCTCTTGGTTGCAACAAAGAATGCACTAAAAATTTAATATATTACAGAAAATATAAATATTTTCCTAGTATTCTAAATAAAAAAAAAAAAAAAAAAAAAAACCTAAAAATAAATCATGAAAGAAAATCTCAAAGACTGTGTCACAGAAACAACGAGCGACCATTTCTCTCTTGAAAACACTATATACCCTTGGTATTTGCCAACTATATACCCTTGGTATCGGCCAAGGGTAGAGCTGGGCAGTAGTTAACAACTTTTTTAAAAAAAATAGTTTGAGTAACTACATTTGGTTAAAAAGTAATTGTATTCTTCAAAGTACTCAAAATAGTTGTTAAAAAAGTAGTTAACTAACGAATGTTAACTACTTTGAGTAGTTCCAATTACATTTTGTACTCTATTTTTAAAAGTATTTTACCTACTGTCTTTAACTATATAGGTACAAAAATAGGCATAAGAAATAGTCTTTTGTGTGTTCTGGTAATTTTATTTTCTCATAACAACGCTGGCGTCAACTCGTCAGTACTTGTTGAGTTATTGTGCCTTAATGGTAGAGTTTTTAGAGATTGTAGCGGTCTAGCGGTTGAGTTGTCTGACCTAAAAATATTTTATTTTGATGTTTATGACATCGATAGTCACGATAATTATGATGTAAATGAAAAGGCGAAGGTAAGTAAATAGATAAAAATTGTCCTTTGTCAAAGTTTCGGCCTGATGATGGACTGTTTAAGCCGAAACTAGTAGCACTTTTAAAATAAATTACTGTAACTAAGAATTTGATTTTTTTTATTTGATTACAAATTGTCACATTTGTGAATGGATGATCTGTTTCACTTAAGAGGAATACATACCATATTTGATTTATATTTCTCAAGCGATTTAAATGAATTCTTTTTTACACATTTATAAAAAGTTCTATAATAATTTTTATTCTTGCAATTTGTGTGTGGTGGGAATAAGTACATAAGTCAAGAAGAGTGAAACAACATTACTATGACATATATTATACCTAACGCATAACGCCGCACTTCGACTAATGTGCATATACACAATCATTTTAAACATATTTTTATGATTCATTATTAACATGTGATTTTACACAGTTATGTGTTTGTAGTTAGTTATTAAGGCTGAATTTAAGTTAGTAAAAATATATGATAATTTGACTTATGTGCTTATTCCCACCATACGCAGAATTTTTTAAATGTAAGCTGATTGGCAGACAATTTTATTTTTAATTATTCCATTTTTTAACAAAACTGGTATCCAATAAAATTAGATAAAATAATGACATTACGTAACCATTCCTGAAATTTAAAATTTCTTTTTTTAATTAAAGTATATTACATTAAAAATAGGGATTTTTGGAATAGTTACCTAGTTTTATTGTAAGACAGTTTTTATTCAAAAGTGAAATTATTTTTTTTTATTTTTATTTCGGCAAATCCGCTTAAATTTAAAAAATGTAAGAATAAGAATTAATATATAATTTCCTGTAAAATGTGTAAGTATATTACAGTGTGTGTAGTATATTATTCAATGAGTACATAAATACAGCTATTATTCACAAGGGTGAATAGAAAAAGTCTAATATGCAAGTAGTTATAAAAAGTAGTTGACATTTTAACTACTAACTAGTTAGTAGTTTAACTATTTTTTAGTGGGACTAGTTTAACTACACAGTAATTAAACCATTTTTTTTATAAAGTAGTTACTAATTCTACTTTTTGAAAAGAGTTTGCCCAGCTCTGGCCAAGGGAGTAGTTGTTTTCAAGAGGGAAATGGTCGCTCGTTGTGTCTGTGACATGGTCTTTGAGATTTTCTCTTTTTTAATAGATGTCCAGAAAAATTTTAAAGCCTCCAAATTTAGACTAGTTCTGTATACAATGAGTAAAAGGAAATAGACTGACTTTAACCTATTTTTTTTTTTTTTTTTCGTATGCGATTTGGAAATATAAAAGTGAACATTCCAATTTCTCTTATTAGACTAAAGAATCCATTCCCACAATCCCAAAGTGAAAACAAACCAAAGAAAAATTAACAAATCTTAAATAAAAAAATGTGCACCATCCAGAATCGAGGGATCTGTGCGTATACCGGCTAGATTTGGCATCCGATGTCTTCAAATTGTCAATTCGGTCATTGTAGCGATATGTTAATTGGTAAGGTAACGAGGAGTAAACTTGAAGATTCAGGTTCAATGTCTCTAAATTGTTTTCGGATTTTAAATTGATTGTCTCTCTTCTCAAAAATATTTATTTTTCATTTCAAACTGAATGCATCCATGTTTTCCATAAAACATGAATGAGTAAAAGTTACCTGGTATTTTGAAAAAGTTTAGTTTTCCACGAATCTGTGCTGTGCGCAATCTGTTGGTTCATCATCGTTTGTCGTTCGCGACCAGTGTTCTCTTGCAAAGTCTTAAGTACCAGACTGTTTATGCGTTGTTTTAAACTTTGGTTGCAAGTGGAATTCGGTTTGAGGACTGATTTCTGGAAGTTTGAGGGTTGAGGCAGAGTTCGATCTTCTTGGATTTCAGAATTTTGTCTACTTCCTGTTCCTGAAACAAACAAAAATACAATTTTTACAAACCCCAAGCTAATTATTCGATTTATATCTTACCTAATCTAAAATTAACTCTGTCTCTTTCGTCATTTTGATTATTAACAAACAAGGATGCGGGTTGGACTGGTGATACTGGGGGCTCAGGACTTAACGATTTAGCGTGGGCTTCATTCATCTTCTGCTGCAATTTTGGCTGCTTTAGTCTATCACTAATTGATCTAGGAGAGAGTTGGGTAGGCGGTTTTTCCTTCTCTGCAGGCGGACTTAACGATTTCTCTTTCACTTCCACCTATTCATTAGTATTTTATCAGCAAAATTAAACGTTATTGTGGCCATTAAACGAAAATTCAACTTACCCTTTCAATCTTACTCTCGATAACTTCACTCTCTATGTCTACGCTCAAATTTTTGGCGTTCTTCAAATCCTCATTACTCTTTTTGTATTCCTTCATCAAATTCACTTGCGCCGACATGTGTTTTTGGCTGATTTTTGGCAGTTGTAACAGAGTAACGAGATTGGCTTGAATGTGAAAACTGTCGGAAAACAATCTTAGAAAACTGGTTAGTTGCATGGGAGTGTTAAATAGATTTGTCCACAGGCTTTCTGGAAGATTGCAACTGACGATTTGGAAGAGTTGCTCTACTAAGATCGGGCCCTTTACCTGTTAACATTATAAATAAAGCATCAATAAAACCTTGAATATTATTCTATTAAATATTTTTGGGCCAGATCAAATAAGCAAGTAAAGTCTCAATTACTCTAAAGAGTTTAAAGCCAGTATAAATATTACTGTCCCTTCAAATACAAAAAGTGACAGTGGGAAGTAATTATAAAGCCTCCAGATATACTCATAATACCCCAAAAAACTTTATCTTCTCTTTCTAGTTTTGTAACAGGATGAAACAAAAATCACTAAAAAAAGGATGTCGGTACTTAGTTTTAATTGTCACAATTATTGGTAGAGTGTATGAAATCGGTGATTTCAAATTAAAATTATGTCAAAACGGTAAATAAATTCAGTGATAGCCAATGACGAACAACTACTTATAGTGTTTTTAGTACCCCAATATAATAGTCTCTTTAGCATTAAAATAATGTAGGAAACAAGATATTTCTAAAAAAACCTAAATAAAGTTTCATCATAATTAGTCATTAAGAACAATTACCAACAAATAAAACAAATGTGTGTAATGGCATTGATAACATTTTTGTTCTCGAAAATCTACATTTAATGGAAAAGGATAAACAGTCTCCTGTAGTCAATGTGGTGTGGACTGCAACAAAAAAATAACAGCAAAATGTCGGATTTCATTTTTGACCAATTTGTTTATAAAAGGCGAAATGCAAGCATTCATGTTGTTCTCCATATTGCTGCCAAATTATTACGGGAAAGTCTATGTACAAGGATTGTTTGTGGTTATAATTAGGAATTTACTAAACAAAATACTCTAAAACGGACAAAAGTATTTCAAGGAAGTATATTTGCATCATATATTTTGCAATGTGGCAACGGTGTAAAGCAGGAATCGTAGTTGTACCAACTGATGTAATCATCATAAACCATCCTAATTCAATTTAGTAGGCGTCTCGCTCTTTTTAATGCGGCAGCCTGCCTAACATTCAACATAAGCTGAATACTTGCAAGTGTTTAATTACGAATAAATGAATTAGTCTAGTGTAATACAAGTCAGTGACAGTCAAGAGTAAATAACTTTCCAAACATTCCTAAACAGTTCAATGACAGTCTAGAATCAGTTTAATTATTATAGTTGTACCTACTTCAATACATTGCGCCAAAAAGTCCATCAAAGCCTGCGTTTCTTGCGGATCGATCTTCACGTCATGTTGAAAATGTAACTCTGGAGGACAATGGCTTTTGACCGACTCAAAATTAGATAAAATAACAGTCTCTTTCTCGTCGTCAACGGTAAAATTGTCAATGTGTTTCGCCAAAAAATCCCTGAATTCATGAAAGTGTTGTCCGGAGACGTGGCGAACTTCCGGACTAGCCTGGGATCTGTGACCTAACAGGCTGCGTATAGGCACTTCTGTACCTTCGCCGTACTGGGCGAGCTTTTCGGAAAAATATTCGACTGCTTGAGTTGTATAGTCTTTACCTGAAAGCATTTACATAATATAAAGAATTAATTCAAAATATACCTACGTAATATTTTAATAGGGACTCGGGCACTTGAACGCGGGAATTTTTATTATCTCAATAGCATTTCATCTGTTATGTCCTGAGCAGAATACATCTGAATATGTTCTTGTAGAGAATAGCTAACACGAGATTAAAATATCTGGCGATGTTTTTTAATTACGTCACCATTACGTAAATATTTTTTAATTATTTTTAATTTTGAAAAAGACCTTTCTGCTAATAATAATGCTGTAATTACCGCCGTAAAATTTTAAGCTAAAGTAGTATTTTCAACAATTAAAAACTGAGAAGTTTTTTATATTTTGTAGTGAAGCAATTTTTTCATCTAATGGTAAACACAAAGCGACTAGTTCCAAAGATAAATATAGTTTAAAAAAAACTAAAAAACACGCTTATAATTCGAACTAAAAAGTGAAAAATAAATATAGTTTAAAAAAACTAAAAAACATGCTTTTAGAGCACATCAAACTAAAAAGTTAAAAATAATTTTTTTAACACGCTTTTATTCAAATTAGCTTAAAACAATAATAAATGGAAAATACTAGTATTATTGTAAAAAACGTCGGGCGCTCGATGTACGAGAAATATGGACAAAGCGCCTCAGCGTGTTAAAAAAATTATTTTTAACTTTTTAGTTTGATGTGCTCTAAAAGCGTATTTTTTTAGTTTTTTTAAACTAAATTTATTTTTCACTTTTTAGTTCGAATTATAAAAGCGTGTTTTTTAGTTTTTTTTTAAACTATATTTATTTTTTACTTTTTAGTTCGATTAATTAAAAAAAAGTTGAAATTGCAGAAAAAAAATTATTTTTTTTTAGCCGTGGGGATTAGAACCCACGATCGGTGAGTCTGGCAATCGAAATCCCGCGCCTTAGACCGCTAGGCCACGAACGAACTTGAGTTAGTTGGATATACTGACAGTAATAAGTCACTTGAGTCCAAAGGAGAGTTTCAAACATACATACATACAGGTGAAGCTAATATAAGCGTGTTAAAAAAGCCCTAGGAATATCGCTGAAAAGGTTTGCTGTACGATTTCTGCCATACTAATTCATTTTCGGCCGAAGTTATCATAACTTGGGGCATAGAAATATAAATTTAAAGGTTTACATATTTGATTAATAACAATATCAAATATTTTGTAATATATATTTGCCTTAATATAATTATTATTTTCTTGATGAGAAAAGACGTAATTTGTATTAGACTCATCAAAGAGTTTCTTTGGTTTTGGTTTCTTTTTACCGTCAACAAGATCTGCAGTAATAATTGCTTCATTCTTTAAATTTAAATACTTATTCCTATAATCTTTAAGAATATCTAAGAATAGAGGATAGAAGAAGGCGTTTGTATTTTATAAAAACGTCTATATTATTAAACTTTTCAATTTTTTGGTCGGTCACTACAGCTGTGAAAATAGGGTCGCTTGGAGGCCGGGCTACCCCGCCGCTGCATTTCTTCGCGGTAGTAGCGATACCTCCGCCATTGACGTTAGATCACTTCAAAAAGTTGACAAACTTGGAGAGCACCTCATGACTGTTTTAATATATCCTTATTTTGAAAGTAGGATAAACTTAATATAATACAAAAGTAAAATTTACATGAGTCGGGTCGAAATTGTTAGCATAATTTTAAAATCAGAAAAAACTTTATGTATAAAATGTTCTGCTTTATTATTGAAATAGTTTGGCAAATGAACTTCATATGTATAAATAAACTGTTTCATTATGTAAAAAATTAAATAATCGACTTTAGTCAAACAAAAAGCGTCCTCTGAGTAAGTAACAAATTAAATTTGTATTTAAAACTGTAAAAAGCGTACATAAATAGTACTGTTATCAGCCCATTAAAAATAAATGCTAAATAAAAACTTAATAAGTCATCCCATATTATAATTTTCGCGATAGAGCGCAGACAGTAAAAATGTTTTCCATACAAAACGGATATTAAAATAAAACAATGCATACCCATATTTTTATTTAAATTAAATATTGCTCTCTCACTTCCAAAGCTAACAACGGTCATTTTCTTAGATGTTAAAAGCAAATTATGAGTAAGTAATTTAAAGACTGGTTATTGAAAAAGATGTGAAAGTGGCGTAATTTTGATAAGTATACAGCTGAAAGTAAAATTATAGTATGCATTTATTTCCTTACTACTTAAATTATATATCATTTATTAATAACTGGTGAATAAAAATTACTTTAGGAAAGTTTTGTTTGTTTATATTTTAATTCAGAAAAAAATCGTTATTTCCCTTCAAAATTTATAAAATTGAAGAGGGAAAGTAAAAAGAAAACATGACAAAAAATTGTTTGTAGAGGGAAAGTAAAAACAGAACAAACAAAAATGACATTCAGATGTATGATGAATTAGGAATACTATTTTATTTATCTCTCACGTACTTAGCACGTTTTATCACAAAAAAAACTTGTCTTGTTCCCCATGAGCAGAATTATTAAAAAGTATTTAACGACATTATTTACATAAGAATCTGGTTTTACAACATTACTAGAATTCCAAACAAGCACAATATTTCAAACGTCGTTCTTAAAATCCGGTCAATAACAAACACCGAATCATATTAATGTTAAGAATTTGAAAAATATTCCTAAATTTACCCATAAATATTATACACATAGTCTATAGCTTGGACATATTTTCTTAAATTTTAATGTGAATATAAAGTACGAGGTACGAGGGAAACCAGAAAAATGTCGGTGATTATGTAGTTAGGAATAATTAAAAAGTTAAATTATATACAAAATTATAAAAAGTCACTGCTCAACGTTACTAGACTGTGCACAGCAAGTTATGCATATCGTCGGTCTAAAGCACACATATTGTAACTCCAAATTTAATGTTATAACGATCTTGGTACCAATTAAATCGCATTTTTGTCTTCTTTATTGGGCACAAACATTGTAGCTCCAACACCCACCAAACTACAATAAATTCAAATTAAAACTGAGAATTAAGGCATTTAATTACACTTTCTAGAAGTTTAAATTTGCGACTGTCCAAAAATGCGTTTTTGGATATACAATAAGTGTGCTTTAGAGGGACGATATAACAACTACATTCCCTTTTAAATACGTGATACAATAGTCTGTGTTGAGTCTGTGTCACCCAGTATATAAAAGATTTCTAGAGGTTAAATATTAAATTAGCTAAATCGGTATTATTGCATCATAAAACTAAATATTTAATTTTTGTGTCTTTTACACATAAATTTGAATAAAATTTTCAGCATTTTTGTATTTAATTTATCAAGTAGGTATATAGCGTAAAAAACAAGTCCAATATGTACCTATCTCGTAAAAATAAAATCATAAACAGCATTGAAAAGAGCAAAATGAAGGATTGCGAAACATACAGCGATGCTAATCCAGCATTTTTAATTAGAATCCAATTATGATTTAGGAATCCAACCATGGAAATAAAAAAGTCACTTGTGAACATATATGTGGTAATCTAGGTATTTCAGATTGTATTGAAACCCCTCTGTAGTTGCTTATGTTATCTTCATCACCTGATCTATTATGGATGCAACAAAACTATTTTTTCAAAAGTCCTTTGGCCACGCTACGCCACTGAGTGACAGGAGTAAATAAACGATGTATAACAGCCTTTTCTATTGGCACTGGCAGTACGCACTGAGTATATCATTTTTCTGCACTCACATGCTACATGCACATACTACAAAACGAAAAAGTATGCTATTGCGTTCAATTGAACGAATATATTTCATGTCTATTCTAGGTAGTGAGACCACTGCAAAAAAATGAAATACACTAATCACAGTTTATATTTCGGACACCCAACTACTACTGTTAATTTTAAAATTTTAAATAAGTGACAATTCTATCAAACTAATTGTCAGTGTATTTTTTAGTTATTGAGATTAAATATACATTAAAATGAGTTATTTTTGTGTAGAATCAATAAATATTAGCATTTTATTTGGTCCACATTTAAAAAAAAATAATTTTAATCAAACTATATGAAATTAATTTAATTACGAGTATTAAAACTAAAATTAAGAGCGGTGGTGGAGGTGAAGACAGAGCTTCTGTCTTCTATGTGAAATGCCCGGGTTCGAATCTGGGCCGGGGACTAATTAGACAAAATTTTTTTTCTTGTTTATTTTATTTTATAAAATATAGTAAAATTCATAAATAATTTTAAAATTAGTTATTTTATCTGAATAACAAAATAATTTCTTAAATTTGCAGATTTTTGTTAGTGGGTCGTAGAAAAAATATACCGTACAACTCGAGAAGATTGTCCATATCCACTCTTGTTGCACAAACTACTGTGTCCTTATTTTTCGATATGGAAAGGAAGTAAGAATACACTTAGAATGCACTGAACATTCCAATGGCCATAAGATTGGTCAATGTATAAATACATTTTTTCAGCAACGGAGATGATACCTCATAAGATTTCTTAGATATTATGAGAAATTCCATTAAAAAACATCCTGTGTCGATATAACAAAATTAGTCAAATCTAGCAAATTATTATCATTATTGTACTTTTGATAAGTATATAATATTAATATAGCCTATTTTTTTAAAGGGTATACAAATTTTTATTTCGTTTGAGAAAGTACACTTATTTGAAGTAATTTCCTAATGGTTTACGTGCAGATTTTTCATATGAGAAGTAAAACAATACGGTCATGTTTTATAGCTTCTTTCTCAGACCATCCCACGATTGTTTATGCACATTCTTTGATCTAATTACATCCCATTGTAATATAAACGGCTGCAAACTCGTTTATAATATACACGATGCATGTTCTAAGGTGCGATCTAACCATAACACACCTTATAGTAATAATTAAAACTAAATATTTTTACGATTTCAGAATTTAAATAATTTAATAAAAATACGAAAAACTAATCATTATAAAGATTATTTAATAAGAGTTATTAAAAATTTATATACAGAG